CTAAATGTGCCCTACAGGATGACTGCCCAGGCCACCCGCTGCACCGACAGGCGGCTGCCACCAGACCCATCTGCCTGGGCGACACGGATGTTAAGATCTTAGCCGCCGCCTGCGTCATGCCCATTGCCGCGAACTCTGCTAGCCTGATAGGGGAGGAACAGAAGTGCGTCAGCGGGAGGGACATGATTGAGAACGTGGCGAGGGCGGAGGCTTGGGGGGTGGAGAAATACATGACGGCATCTTCAGACGCGGCTTTACTGTTGACTGACTTCGCGTCAGCGTTTCCTAGCCTGGCGCAGGAGTGGCTCTTCTTCGTGCTTGAGGCCATGGGCATTCCTTCCCCGCTCGTCCACTTCTTCCGAATGATGTACTCCGATAACACCGCTATCCTCTCACTTCGTGGTCGTCGTCACGGGCTTATTCGTATCGCGTCTGGGGTCAAACAAGGCTGCCCCGCCTCCATGTTCCTCTTCGCTCTCGCCGTGAACCCTCTGTTGGCATGGATTAGGGCGTCCCTCGGCTCAGCGCTGGGGCTGTCTCTTGCATATGCCGATGACTTCGGTTTTGGAGTTGAGCGAATCTCCTCATCACTCAAAGCGCTTCTTGACAGCTTGGAAGCACTGGCGGCGGTTGCCAACCTTCGGCTGAACTTTCGGAAGTGCCAGGTGGTCGTCTGCGGGACTATGGACACATCACCCATCCGCTCCCTCCTCCGCTCCTTTGGCGCGCCCTACAACCTCATTCAGGTCTCCCTTTCCGCCGCCTACCTTGGCTTCCCGATCGGCCCCGGGGGCGCCGCGCAGGTATGGTCCCCCATCCTCCCCAGCTTTGTTGCGAGGATTCACCAGACGCGTGCATTGGGATTGGGAATTGCTCAGTCCGCGGCTGCCTTTCAAGTCATGTGTGTTAGCAAGCTCCTATTCAGGCTTCAGCTCTACCCGCCCTCCCAGGAGCTGGCGCCCGCCTACCGCAACGGAGTGCCCCTCCTCACCTCGGGGCCCAGGAACGCCATCTCCTACAACGTCGCCACGAAACTTACCCGCATCGGATTCGCCACTGAATTCCTGGAGCTCGACGCGGTCGCGAAAGCCACTGCCCTTCGGTATCTCTTGAGATCTGGGTGGATCTTTGGGCTTCTGGATTCGCTGGAGGCCTCTCGTTCAGACGTCGAACACATTCCGTATAGGTGGCTTCGTGGGTGGCATGCTGAAGGCCTCTTGGGATATTTGAGGTCGGTCAAAATGTGGTATTGCGGGTTATCCCTTGACATCCCTTCCTCTTCGAGCAAGTTACAACATCGACTCTATCGGGCGTTTCGAGAGCTAGAGACCAGTGGGGGCATCGAGTCCATCCTCCTTCGGCGTGCCCACCACTTTTGCCCTGAGGTCACCCGTGATCATATCGTCATCCTGAAAGAGAACATAAAAAGAGTGTGCAAAGCAACGAGTATGTATGTTGGCATGGCTCCCTTTCGTTTGCTGACTGGATCTATCTGCACGAGCTCCCGATTTCACTCAGCCCCAAGAGGGTGTCTATTCGGGCGCCAGACCGTCGACGGAGTCGACAACGATTCGCTTCGCCATTATTCTTCTTGTCCGAAGCTGGAATCACTTCTCAGGAGATGGATGGGGAGACATATTCGAGTCTATCAAGGTGAGCGCTCATTCCATTGGTTTCCCTCTTGCCTCCTCCTCGCATTTGACGATGTTGCTGGTCTCCTCCGTCGTGCTTCCCGCATGGAAGCCTTTCTTGCGGCCCTGAACGCCCGTCGAGTTGGGCGCTCCGCCGCTGCTGAACAGGTGTTTGAAGCCCGTCTGCGTGTGCTGGCCCGCCGCCACCCAGCGCTCGCAGACGTTTGGTGTGATGCAAGTGTTTGGGTCACTCGCCGTCTGGCAAGGGAGGGGGTCCCGAGAAGGCGAGCGCTGCCGCCGCGGGTGCACGGCACCCCGCGCGGCAGGTGGGAGCTCCCCTCGGATGGTCAACCCCCCCCTTGCCGCGGCAGAGTGCGGACTGCTCGACCAAGGTGTGTCGACCGCCTTGCGCAGGGACTCCAAGAAGCCTTGAGAGCCCCCCCCCGACTGCGCAGCGCCCCCGGCAGCCAGTTGCCGGTTCGTCCGAGGCTGGTCTGCCCGGGGGCGCACGCGCTCGCCGGCCGTTGCTTGAGCTCTTCTGCGCCGCCCCCCTTAGCAGCCAGCTGCCGGTTCGTCCGAGGCTGGTCGGCGCGGGGGGAACGCGCGCGCGCCGGCACCGTTTTCCGATTTCTTCTGCGCATTGTCGTGGCGCAGAGGAAGGAGGAAACAAAAAAAAAAAAAAAAACAGCAGCAGCAACAACAACAACAATCAGTTTAAGACTGTTCGCCATTATCTGATCGAGTGTCCAATAACGTGTATTCCCACCCACCCCGATGCCCGCCCTCTTCGTCTTCGATCGAACCCCTTTTTGGGGGTATACTTTTCTTCCCTGCAGGCCGGGCCCCGGCAAGCGGCGGGGCGGCTCGGCCTGGCCAGCGGCAGTGCTGATCGGCGGGGCGGCCGCGGACCGTCGACCCGACCCCAAGAGGGACGGACAGGGGACCGACCACGACGACGACGACGTCGACGACGACGGCGACGACGACGACGACGACGGCGACGACGAGCGAAAGCGAGAGCGAGCAAGAACGACAGCAGGGCCACGAAGGACACGAAGTAGGCCACGAAGGCCGACAGCGGGGACACGAAGGGAATGCGTATGGGGCCACGAAGAGCGCGAACGAGCGGGGGCCACGAAGGGCAGATAATGCGGGGCCACAGAAGGCAACGATGGGGCCACTGAGGGTAGCAACTGGGCCACGTAGGACAGTGAGGGGGCCACAAACGGCGACAGCGGGGCGACGAAGGGCATGCACATGGGGCCACAATGGGCGAGAACGAGCGGGGGCCACGAAGGGAATACGTATGTTGGGCCTCGGAGAGCAAGGACGGGGCCACTGAGGGCAGCAACGGGGCCACGAAGGGCAGCGAGGGGGCCACGAAGGGCGACAGCGGGGCCACGAAGGGCATGCATATGGGGCCACCAAGGGCGCGAACGAGCGGGGGCCACGAAGGGCATACATATATGGGGCCACGAAGGGCAGCGAGGGGGCCACGAATGGCTGCAACGGGGCCACGAAGATGAGCGAGGGGGCCACGAAGGGCTGCAACGGGGCCACGAAGGGCTGCAACGGGGCCACGAAGGGCAGCGAGGGTGCCACGAAGGGCTGCAACGGGGCCACGGAACAAAACGAGGGGGCCATGAATGGCTGCAACGGGGCCACGAAGGGCAGCGAGGGGGTCACACAACAAAGTCAGGGGGCCACGAAGGGCTGCAACGGGGCCACGAAACAAAGCGATGGGGGCCACGAAGGGCTACAACGGGGCCACGAAGGGCAGCGAGATCCCGATTCTTAGGTAATCTGTGAGGGAGTCCTAAGCGTGAACGCGACTCCTGGGTGCTGGGTGTCAGGAGCGCGGCGCGTGAGTAAATTGCAGGAGTTCCCATGCAAGGGCGCTATTAGTCAGCAAGTCTCCAGGGAGAGCGCAACTCCAGATCGCCGGGAGAGCGATTCCTGCATAGATCGTAAGGAAGTCCAAAGTGAGAGCGCGATTCCTGAATCAAATGTGAGAAGTCTCGGGCGGGAACAGGGGTCCTGGCTAAATTGTGAGGAAGTCTCAGGCGGGAGCCGTTGTTGTTGTAACCCGGGGGCCAGGGGCTCAGTTTGAGCAGGAAGACTTTCCCTGTCAAAAAACAGGGTGCGAGCGTCGAGGGGCACACTTTGATGGAGAAAAACAGTATGCACCGGTGGGGGGATCAACAATAATTATTCTTCAGAAGTGAGAGTTCAACAACAGCAACAACAACAACAAAAAAACAAAAACAACAACAACAACAACAACAACAACAACAACAACAACAACAACAACAGCAACAACATAGACAGCAACATCAACAACAACAACGAACTACATACGCACACACACACACGCACGCACGCACGCACATATACACACACGCACACATTTGCACACACACACACACACACGCACGCACGCACGCACGCACACACACACAAACACACAAACACACACACACACAAACACACACACACGTACACACGGGCACACACGGACACCCGAAAGGAGCATGATAGCATATCCATATCCTGCCTTTCCCTCACCCTCCATCCTTAGCATCGTCCTCTTTCTCGCCTTCTCCGCCCCCTTTCCTCAATGTTCCTCCGTCTACTCATCTTATTCCCCTCTCATCTCTCCCTCCTCCTTCGCTTCCTTCTCCTGATCCCTCGTCATTTGCCATTTCAGCTTCATGATACTCCTCCTCCTTATCCTCCTTCCTCGTCTTTCTGTTCTCTCGTCTCCTTCTCGCTCCGCGCCCTTCCTCTCCTCATCCTCCGCCCTTTTCCTCTCTCGTCCATCAATCATCCCCTCTCCCCCTCCGCACGGGAGCGCACGCTTGAGGAGGGTGACGGGGTGAAGTGGGAAGACGGCAGAGGAGGAGGAGGAGGAGGAGGAGGAGGAGGAGGAGGGAGCAGAAAGAGGAGGAGAAGGAGGAGGAGTAGGAAAGAGAAAGAGGAGAAGGAAGAGCAGCGAGGAGGAGAAGGGGGCAGGAGGGAGGAGGCATAGAGGAGGCGAAGGACTGCGGAGGAGAAGGAGGGCGGAGGAGAATGAGGAGGATGGAGGATGAGGAGGGAGGAGGGAAGGGAAAGGAGGACGCAGGCAGGAGGGAGCAGGAGGAGTTCCTCCCCCTTGTAAAGCTGTGACGGGGTGTGTGCTCAAGGGCATTTTCTCCATGGGCGCGAGGCTTTCCAGTTCCCAAGAGGCAGCACTGCTGTGCCTCACCAGTTGCCCTCCATGAGGCCACTGGAGGCAGATTCCTCGACCTGGAGGCAGATTCCCGGGGCTGGCTCAGTGGTGTCGCCGCGTAGCTGACATCCCTGGAGTCGCCTCCCCCTCCTGGCTGCTAGGCTCCGCTGCGGCAGAGCCAGGCGACCACGCTGAAGGCAACGCTGGAGAGGCGGCAGACCTGAGCGGCCTGCTGGAGAAGCGTATGGGCCACGTCGACGCACAGCTGGACAAGCTGCTGGCGCACGCGGAGGACCGGTCGCCCTCTCCATTTTCCCCCCGGGGGACAGCAGCGAGGCGGTCGGGGTTCGGGGATCGACGTCCGAGGTATCTGATCGTCGGATTTCGCCACTTGTGGGCCTCCCAGGGCGCAGCCGTCGACACGGGAGGATTCATTACGGTCAGGATCTTTGGCTTACCGTGTCGCGCCGTCGGTTTTGGCCCACCACGCTCTGGCGCGACACGCTAAGCACATCCCATCCCCCGAGCATCAACGATTCGAGCCTTTCGAGGCCCCCCGCTGGGCGGAGCGGAGAGAGACACGCTACCCGCTTGCAGGGCATTCTGTGTCGCAAGGGCGGCCGCCGCGACACGCTGAGAACACGTTCCCGACCGTACCTCTGAAATTCGGGCAAGGACCCGCCACACGGGCAGGTCATGGGTGCCGATGTTCACGGAGGAGCTCAGACCTTTCTGGGCGTCGCGAGGCAAATTGCCCCAGGGACGTACCCGACCCATTCGATACGGGGAGCAACATCAAGGCCCATGAAGTACGCCCGAGATGTGTATATATAATAGATACATCGATGCACACAGAAGCTGTTGCGCTGAACACCTCAGATATCAGAGAGCGGGAGTATTTGAACGTATGGCATTATTGTGGAGAGGACGAGAAGGAGGATGAGGGGCAGGATGATGCGGACGAGCCTGGCAGCAACCAGGTGGGTTGGGGGGTTTGAGGGGCTGGGGGCGAGTGGGATATTTTGAGCTGCGTAAGCGTCACTCCGCTGGACCCCCAGGGCGCAGAACAGTCACGACAAGTGCCGTCTTACGGGTGTGACGCCATTCCTCTGGACCCCCCAGGGGCGCAGCCAAATGCAGACAGCTGCCTAGCAGCACACAGGGCGGGCGAGCTCTAGTTTCGATCCTCCCAGGGCGCCGCGCTGCTGGACCCAGCGTAGGCGCAGCAAAGTGGCGACCGTCGTGCTTTGGCAGCACCCAGGGAAGGGAGGGCGATGCCTGGTTGAGTGGGTCTTCTCGAGACCGGCGATCCCGCAGGACCCTGAGGGGCGCAGAAAGGCGGCGGCACTGGCGCGCAGAATTAGCCGCACACAGGGAGGGCGAGGTCTAATTAGGTGGGTCTGCTTTAACAGCGCTCCCCTGGACCCCTGGGGGCGCAGAAGCGTGGCGACGGTCGCGAGCCTGGCAGCACCCGGGCAGGGTGAGGTCTCGTTGAGTTTGCGCGAGGCCGGCATCCGCTGGTCCCCTAAGGGCGCAAAACAATGGCGACAGTTGTGCGCCTGGTGGCACCCAGGGAGGACGATGCCTAGCTGGATTTACGCGTGTCCTGGTTCCGCAGGACACCCTGGGGGCGCAGTCCCATTTGGGACAGTTGCGTGCCAGGCAGCGCCCAGGGAGGCGAGGAGTGACGGGGCTTGCATGACAAATGATTCCGACGGAACCCCCAAAGCACAGCAAAGTGGCGACAGCTGCGCGCCTGGGAACCATCAGGGAGGGCGAGGTCTAGCATGGCTTGTATCAGTAGTCGCTGGGCTGGACCCCCCCATGGGCGCAGCAAAGTGGCGGCAGTTGCGCGCCTGGCGGCACCCAGGGAGGGCGAGGTCTGGGCTGGTCTGTGTGAATGGTCGCTCCGCTGGCCCCCCCCCCGTTGCTCAGCAGAGTGGCGACACTTGTGCGCCTGGCAGCACCCAGGGAGGGTGTGGTCTAGAAGAGTATGGGTGAGGCGTTGCTCCGCTGGGCCCCCCTTCCAGGGGCACAGCGGAGTGGCGACAGCTGCGCCCCTGCAACACCCAGGGAAAGCGAGATCTAGCTGGGCCTGCGTGGTACGCCACTCAGCTCGGCACCCCAGGGGGGGGCAGCAGGTCCGCGGCACTTGCGCGCGTGGCAGCACCCAGGAAGGGCGAGGGAGAGGACGCGAGGAGGACAGGAGTTGCCTTGGAGTCTGGAGCCACATGCGGTTCCCCTGGCACTGAGAGCTGGATTCAACGATGAACGCGGTGGGGACCGGGTCAATGAAAAAAATGCCCGCAACGAGCGATGTGTCTTCTGGGCGGGGCCGAGAGCTCTGGAACTCCACTTCGAACAGTGCATGACGCATGAGCCCCGGGAGTAGCAAAAGGGAATATGGATGTAACGTTGGCTTGTGCCAGCGCCTGGGGTTGCGCACAGACAGCGCCCAGAGGGAACTGGCTCAGGTTTGCACGTACCAGTCCGCAGAACTGTCCAGGTCTGTCGCAACAGCACCCTGCCCTGGGGGCCTGATGACGCCAGCCTTAAGTCGGGCCTGTCCCTCTACAGGGGGGATATTCAAAGATAGTCAAGGGCCTGTCCCTCTACGGGGAATCTCCAAAAATAGTTTAAAACCAAAAAATAGTCAGGGGACGATTTTATTTTAGTATTTTTGAGCATTGGGAATAGTTTTAACTATTTTTCAGATTTCGCCCAAACTCCTCCTGTTGGGGGACACGCCCGACCTATCGCCAGCCTGGGTCTGCGTTCGGAAGCTGTCTGTGCGCAAACCCACGCAAGCCAGGTTGATGTGCTTCTGAAGAGAAAGGGCGAGCATGGACCCCAATGGAATATCGCGGGCGCGGGAGGCCACGCAGTCCCAGAATCTCCAGCGGCGAGACGCGTCGCTTGTGACCCTGGCACCGCGCGGGGATTCTCGGACAAAAAGCCATTGCGCCAGGAAGGGCACGGAGTCCAACATCCACAGGCCATGGACCCCAGGCACCATCCCAGGACCCGACCACGACTTCGCCAATGCCCAAAAAGGCGCAGCAACGAAGGACGAGGAGGACGTGAATCCTCCTTGGCGGAGGTCACCGGAGGCTTCCCGCTAAAGGCTCCAGAAGGGCCCCCAAACGCAGGATAGTGGTCCAAATGCTGAGTGCGTAGCTGAGAACTCCGCGCGCGCGCAGGGGGCCACAGCGCCCCAGAAGTTGTTTGGGAAGACGGCGACGTTACCGTCGATGAGAACGACGACGACGACGACCATCCTCGACGACGACGACTAGCCACAACGATGACGACGACGACGGCGATGACGACGACGACGACGACGGCGATGACGACCCCCAACAACGACCTTGGTTTATCTTAAAAGCGCCCTGGGCGTTTTTGCTTGCGTTTTCTAGTTTGGGCCTTTGACAGACTGAAGACGCTAAGAAAACGCTATATTTGTTTTAGCGTTTTTGGGGTCGTTTTTGGGGCTCTTTCAGGTTCGTTACTGTGGTGCAGCGTGAGGCTCCTCCTTGCCTTCTCTGCCAGCTTGGCTCCCGCGCTCCCCGCCCTGCCGCCGTTCGCCCTTTCTGCCCCCCAATCCTTCTCCCAGGTCGACGCACCTGCCTTGATCCATGCGCTGCGCACACGGGGGGGGGAGGGGGTGCAAAAAACCGGTTCCCGCGCAAAGGCCTAAACACGCAACAAAAAAACGCTCTGGCACCGGTCTAACACACGAGGGGGGGTGGCAGCAGGGAGGGCGGGCCTCCGCAACGAGTCACCAGCGACGGCCGCAGAAAGGCAACACTGTATAAAGAAGACGATAGGGACACGCAAGGAGACGGAAACACACAATCCACGTATCTGAAAACACGAAACAGCGGTTTGAACACGCTACAACAATGCATCATGTGTTTGGCGCTTTCAGTTTTTGTTAAGACCTGAAAGCGCTAAAACAAGGATTTCCAAGACACCGAGCTGAAAACGCTAAGACAACGCCCTGGGCATCTTTAAGATGCACCAAGACAACGACGACGACCGCCCACGACGACGGCAACCACAACGACGACGACCAACACGGAAACGACGACGACGACGACGACGACGACGACGACGACGACGACGACGATGGCCCTCCCCCGGCGCTAATGCTTTGGGGAGCGCCCGCGCGCGCATGCGCATGCTGCACGGGATGGCCCGTCGTCCCCGCCGCACGCAGGAGGCCACGGAATCCAGGAAGCTCCTGTGGAAGATCGAGCAGGTCACGGCCAGCGACAGGGGGGGGACTGGCCCAAGGGGGGGTCTGCATCGACCACCAAATTGCCCACTCCGTCTCCTCGCCGATCGGGGCCTGGGACTCCCCACTGCGCCCAGGAGCGTGCGGCTTCGCCATCGACAGCCGATCTATCGGCGATGTACCGCCAATTCCAGCTCGATGTTCTCCCCCCCCCCACTCCCCCTCCGCTCCCCCCACCCCCCCCGTGAGCTACGGTCGGGGACTTTTGCTAAGCGTGTCGCGGCGGCGGCCCCAGCGACACGCTATCCCGTGCAAGCGGATAGCGAGAAACTCCGCTCCGCGGGGCGGGATGCGGGGCAAAGCTCGGGGCGCTGACGCCTGGGAACCGGGACGTTAGCGTGTCGCGCCGACGCGTGGTGGGCCAGAATCGACCGCGCGACACGCTAAGCAAACGCTCCCGGCCGAGGTCCCCACTAACGCTTCCCTTCCGCAGGGCGTCTGCAAGCTGCGCGGCGTCACGGCGGGCTTAAGCGCGTCACCCGCGTCCGCCACCACCCTGCGGGAGGCAGCGGCGTCGCCCCAGGGCAGCAGGACCCGCTGGAGCCAGCGTTAGGAGGAGGGACACAGGTCAGCCGACAGGTAATAGGGGTTTAGTGCAGACGGTGCTCAGCGGTCCTGCGAAGCCAGATTTGGATGGGGGGCCGCGTTTGGGAGCCGTTCGCGGCCTTGGAGGTGGTTCTACACATTGGCTGAGCCAGTTTCGGCGCTTGGGAAGCCCCTTGCGCTGAGCTGGGCTTGCCAGCACCCGAACATCGGGCCGCCCAACAGGTGGCAAAAGGACCGAGGCGTCCAGGGAGTCTTCTTGTTGTTGACGTCCACTGTGGATGCTTCTGGAGGCCGCATCGCCTTGGGTTTTCGATCGAGTGTTGACTCTCGGGGGCCCGGAGGGCCGCCACGCGAGCCGTCGTCGACGCGAGCCGTCGTCGTCGTCGTCGTCGTCGTCGTCGTCGTCGTCGTCGTCGTCGTCGTCGTCGTCGTCGTCTTCGTCTTCGTCGTCTTCGTCGTCGTCGTCGTCGTCGTCGTCGTCGTCGTCGTCGTCGTCGTTGTCGTCGTAATCGTCGTAATCGTCGTCGTCGTCTTCGTCATCGTCATCGTCTTCGTCGTCGTCGATGTCGGCGATTTGGATGTTTTTGGGCGATCTAGAGGTTCTCGTCGCTGCTGCTGGTTGCAGCTCGAAATTGTCCTCGACCCAGGCGCCTGCCGCAAGCCCTGCCACTGTGCCAGCGCAGCACTCTACGTTGCGACTCTTCGATAATCGACCAGAGGATAGCACGACCCGATTCGCTCTTCCGAGGCATGAGAAATTCGAAACGTGTGGTACCTATCTCTCTCATCTGGAGCTAGAGTCTAGAGAGTCGGAACATGTGACGGCCTTCTCCCTTGCTCAAACTGGGACGTAGCATGCAACAGCTCGCTTCCCTACTGGGGAGAAAGCCGCAGCATGTCAGGTGCGTTACTGACAGGCCCTTTCCTTCGAGGGGTCGAGAAGTCGGCATCTCTTCCTCGGCGGAAGGCCAGCGGGAGGTGGCGGCAGCAAACAAGGGCGGCTCCGCCGGCGGAAGGCAGCGGAAGTAAAACATGCGCCCCCAAGAGGTATCAACATTTTTGGATGCAGGGTTTCCGGAGCCGGCCATGGAGGAGGAGGGCGAGGACGATAACGAAGATAATGATGATGTGACGGAGGAGAGACGAACAAGATGCAGGAGGAGGAGGAGGGGGAGGAGAAAGTCATGTTGGAACTAACTTTTGGGCGTCGTAGGGGCTGCTCTTGGGATGCATTGGAGGCCTCTCGGGGCCCTCTGCGGGCGTCTTGGGATTTGGCCGTCGGGGGCCTTTCTTGGGACCTCTCGGGCATACATTGAGGCCGTTTGGGAATACAGGGTCTAGTGTTGGTATGGACGCCTCCAGGACATCTTGGATCCCTTCTGGGCCGTCTGGTAAAACATCCTAGCCATCTTGGAGGCTTTGTAGGACGCTTGGGCTGCGTCGAGGCGCCCAGAAAGTCTCTAGAAGGGGGGTGCATGCGCCGCTTTGCGACGAAGAGGGGTCAGCACTTGTGTGCGCCATGCGTGTACAGCGCACGGGCCTTCGACTCCTGCGATGCTGGCGCGCGTGTTTGCTCTGCAGGCCTCGCGGTGCAAGTCTGCCACGTGCCCAAACACGGCTCTTCCAGTCCGCGCCGGAGCGCGGCGGATCTTGGATCCGCGCGGGCGGGATCGCCTTGAGGCGATCTCGGATTGGTTTCTTTGCTCCTGCTTGGCGCGCTGAGGCGACGCAGCGGAGGACGCATGCGGTTCGCAGGCGGTGTAGTCCCCCGTGGCTGTCGTCGAGCAGTGCAACTGGTGCAGTGGTGCTGCGTCGTGGCCCGCGGACATGGCCCTTGCACCAGCTCTCTTGCGCAAAGAACCAGAAGCCTGTGCAGTCCCTCGCAGCTCTCGTCGGGTGCGCGCCCGAGACGTGCGGGCCGTTGCCAGAGGTGTGCTGGCGGGCCAGGCGCCAGGGCATGCAGGGGAGCGACGGCGGAACGGCACCCTCCACACTTCATGCTAAGGGTCCAAATTGATTGGGGCCACAGTCCCCTGTCCACGAGCTCAAAGCATGCTCGTCGAGGGCCTCGAATGCAAGGCCGGGGGCGGCTTGCGAGCATCGGCGGCGGCGCTGCGGGCGCACAGACCCCATCGGGAGCATCTGCTGACTCGTCGCGCGGTCGGCGTCGACGGCGACGGCGGCAGCTGGGCCCGCAGCACGGCCCTTGCCGCAACGTGGTGCGCAGGTAGCTCCACACGTCCGCGGCTGGGCCTGCATGAAGCTCTTGGCCCCAGGGTTGCTCTCTGTGTCCTGCGGCCTCCAGGGGCCTAAAAGTGTCCCGAGAGCCCTGGATCCTCGAGCCTCGAGGGGCCTAAAGAGTGACCCATAGTGACCCCGATGATGATGCGCAGGATCTCCTGGATCTGGCGCAGGAGACGGTACTGACCAGTCTTTCCCCCGAGGCTAGTCGCGAGTGTATGCAGCGTGGTCGCTCAACGAAGGCAGCTCTGTAGCGGGAGTCGTGAGGTACCCTCTTGCTATGGGACGGGCGGGCGGCGGTGATCGTCATTTGCTTGATCAGCCAAATTTCTGGTTAGTAATGGTTTGGATAAGTTGTTTTTCGCATGGCCTTGTGCACCTTACCTCATGTCATCTAATAACTTCATCTGGCCTCAATCCGTTGCAAGTCACTCTATTTCATCTGATCTCACGTCGTGTCAGCTTCCGTAGCCGCTTTGGCTCAAGAGCCAGGGCGCCAAGGGTCAGATTGGGTATTCCTAGCGATGACATCAACCTGAACCGAATGCTCAGACGTGCTCTCGACCCTGGCACTGGCAGGGTCGCCTGGCGACTGACTCGTAGGCGCTAAGGGTAGCGGCCAGCGCCACGTTCCCATGGCGCAACGGAGGAGAGTCAGACAGTCAGACATCCCGCCTGCTGCGCGGGCAGTCGATCCAGCGAGCGGATTTGTCCCTCAGCCTCTGGACTGGCTAGCTGTCACAGCCGCTGTGCGCCATCGCGCAGTCCGAGGCTTCGCACGGAGCGCGCTCCAGCGTCTTGGCTGGGGCTGCCAGCGAGGCGCTCGTGAGGAGCAATGCCGAGCCCACGCCTGTGTTGCATGGCATCCCTCCTCTTGCCCGGCCACCCACCATGGCGCCGCTCCGCGCCGTTGGAGAAGTGGTTCTGGCCCCGCTATCACCGCGACGCTCCAGGTCCGAGTCCCACTCGCCCACTAGGCGTTCTCGGCGGGCGCCCACGGCGTCTGCCACGATGAGGGGCACCCAGAGGGGGTTTCGGCGGGACACGGCCGTCACTGGTCCAGGCGGGGTCCGCGAGAAGCCAAGCAGTGACACAAGCAGTGCCATTGCCAGCGTCGTCCGCGACCCAGTGCCTGGTGCGTAGGTGTATGATGCCCTTGCCCATGCCTGTACCCATGCAAGGGCAAGCAGGCCCGAGAGCATCAGCATGTCCCTCGATTCGTGTGCCGACCACGACGAGGTCGACTCGGAGGCAGACAAGGACGCAGTCTCCACGTTCACTGCCGCTGAGAGCCCTAGGCTTGCGAGGCTGGTGATGAACACCTCGTCGTTAGCCGCTAAGGAGGAGGTCAACCTGAGAGGGCTCGAGAGGTCGTGCACGAGGGTGACCATCGATCCGTACTCGTCGAGGGCCGCGCCAGTTCTGGCAGCCACGAGCACACGATGGCACTGCCAGCAGCTCATCGCAAGCCCCTGTTTTGAGTGATCGGTCGCGGTAGTCATGTTTCCCACATGTGTCGTCATCGGGGTGCAGGCAGATTGGGGCGTCCACCACCCAGGAGAAAAGTTGCCGCTGGGATCCTGCGTGCTCGCCCATACCTTGGTCGCGATGTTCAGCTGTGGATTGTTTCAGCGCATCATGGCCGCACGGACCCTCTTTTTCACTGGCAAGTTTTCGACACGACACCTGGAGCTATCTCTCATCGGGATTTCGTGACTACGTCTTTGGGCGTCTCGTCCATCAAGGCGAAGTTTACCCGCCCTCTCCCCGACTGAGCAGGCTCGTGCATCCAGTGTGCGTGATCAGGATCATCAGGTTCTTCCCGGAGTTGAGTGTCTCTCCTCTTGTGGGGAGGTTGGTGCTTGGAATGCTCATGCGCCCCTTCGCCGTCAGCGTTGTGCAACCAGTGGATACAGAGTTTGCCTATGAGTCGACAGGCTCAGCTGGTGAGCGTGTCTTGTACTGGGGCTTGTTCCCCTGCGCAATTTTCATTGTGTATGTGAGCACCCCGAATGGGGCGTCATGGGAGGACGCTCGCACTATTATGTTGGCATCGTTGCTTTAAAAGAAACCATGCCACTTCAGCTGACGAGTACTTCAAGATGTGGAATGAGCTGGACATTGAGAAATAAAGATGTGGGAGCGCGATGGGAGACGTCTTTTCCGAGAAGCTGACAATGGCGGCAGTGGCAAGTTGGGATGGGAGGGTTTCCACAAGCTGCCCACGGACCACCTACTGCAGAACATGGTGACGTATCTCGGTCTGGGAGTCGACGTGATGGCGTTGGAGCCGCGGATGCTTTTTGATTGTAAAGGTCTCGGGGCTGCGCCGTCGATCCAGGACGCTGCAGGACGCTCCGTGCGCTCTCGCCTGGTCTAACAGTTTGTAAGCTCTACCTCGTGGAGGCAGGAGGGACGAGAAGGAGGAGGAGGAGGAGGACGAGGAGGACGAGGGAGGAGGAGGAGTAGGAGTAGGAGGAGGAGGAGGAGGAAGGGAGGGGGGGGGAGGCGGAGGAGGAGGAGGAGGAGGAGGAGGAGGAGGAGGAGGAGGAGGAGGAGGAGAAGGGGGAGGAGGAGGAGCTAGCGGCATGCCAGATGTGCGCGTATTGTTGCAGCAGTGCGCTCTGACCGTCGGCGAAAGGACCGTCGGCAAACGCCGCGTCCTGTCTCTATCCCACCACATCCTCACGCCTCCTGCATTCCGCTCATCCAGGCCCCACCAACGCGCTAAGGGCTCAATGAGCGAACAGCTGGCGTTGCGGATGGACCTGGTGAGCGCCGATGTTCAGACGGGGTTCGGAGCACAGCTTCCTCCCTCGTTCTCCCGCCCCACCCCCCTGTGCGAGTCCAGGGGCAGTTCAGCCTTTGTTTGCATTTGTTTGCTTCCAGTGCCTGGGTGCGTCCGCTCCTCCTTGCGGTCGGAATGGGTCAGTCCCCGGAGGCTGAGGCCGATGAACAACAATGAACAACAACCGCACCTTGTGTCATCGTGTCATCTCGTCCTCTGCATCCTCAATCACCAATGTATCAAATTGTTGACGCCTTCGCGTCTATCCACCATCCCCTCTCTCCACGGCCTGGTGCTGCTGGCCCACCCACTGCACGGTCCTCTCGTGCCGGTCATCTTCAGTTTTCAGTCGCATGGACGCGGGGCGCACGGCGCTGGTCGTGACGGTTGATCGGTTGTCCGACTTCTCCCCCGCCATTTTGGTTGCGTCCTCTATCTTGTGCTCGCGTTTGTGCTGTTCTACCCGTACGGCATGGTGCTCACCTCTTCTTCCCTTACGCCTCTGTCGCGCCATTTTGGCTGCGTCCACCAGGCTGGTGCTCGGGTTCGTGTTCTTCCCGTTCGGCAAGGATGGATCCGCCCTGGCCTCCGTGCTCTTCTTCCTCGGCGCGCTCTTCTGGCGGCTGCTTGCTGGCCGGGCGGTACTGCGGTACTCTCTTCCGCCCGCTGGCCGCCACTCGCCTCACTGTTTTTCCCTTAGGTAGGAGCGCGGCCCGCCCTAGCACGCTCGGCGTTCGACTCGTCTTCGGGCGCCCGCGGACCAAAAAGTACATCCACCATCTCATTTCAGAACTGCCCACGGGCGGGTTGCATTGATCAGGGACGTGTTGGAGAATTCGGTGGCACAACAAGGGGATTAGACATTCGATTACCTTCACAAGGTGGCGGGCCTCCCGTAGGGGCTGCGTGAAGGCTTTTTTTCTGTTGATTCCCAAGTTCTTCGTGAGAGCGGAGAGTCGTAAAAAGGAATCGTGATTTAGCATATGTGGATGCATCCGCTTCTTGGGGTAATCCTGAAGCTCTCTCAGGAGGTGTTTTTTGTTGGGGCGGCTTGGGTTCTCTGGTGGCGCTCTTGAGGCCACCCCAGACCGATCCAGGAAACAATCGATCAGGAAAGGTGGGTCTTTGAAAGGTGGGTCCTTATTTTAACCTGGCAGTCGTCTCTTCGAGACGTTTTGGGGCGTTCTCGGGATGCTCTTGGTCGCCTCGGGGACTGCGCTGGGCCTCTCTGGACCTCCCTTGAGGCTTTACTCGGCCATCCTGATGATTCGTATGTCCACTGATCAGAAGCGCACTTGCGAAAAGGAAATTACAACATCCCAGAGCACTGGGCCCCATGTCGGATACCTTTGGGGGGGGTCCTGGGCCTCCAGCGTGGCCCGAACTAGGAGCCATCTTGGAGCCATCCAGGGCCCTAGTGGACCCTCTCACACCTCGCGGCGGGTCCCGTGCAGACGCAGGAAAAGTAGCAAGGGGAGGGCCAAATCGCTGCCCGAACTCCGAACGAGAAGAAGGGGCCTATCGAAGAGATTGCCCCGGTACGCTGCTTCCCGAATCTGGCGGGACCTAGGCCTTGGCCCCGAGAGCGCCTGAGTCTCGGGGGAAACGCGCTGCCCGTGTTTGCATCCCCCCCCCCATGAATAGCCCGGGAAGTCTCCGCGGAGGTCCCCAGAGGCCTCCGGGTTGGAGGCTCCAGGAGGAGTCCTCCCGAGATACAGAAAAGGCGGAACACGTCCAACGACCTGACGATCATCGATCTTCACCCTTCTCGGCAAGGGGCTGGCCCTTCGAGGGCGTCATCGATTCAGGGCGGCGTTTCGGGTGTTGCGACTGGTCGTGGCCGTTTCTTGCCCCGCCCGTGCAGGAGAGAAGGCCGGCAGCCCTTCACGATACCAGGATCTCCAGTCCCCAGCGATGCAGGCGCTTCCCTCTTCCTTTTGTTCCTGCCTGCTCATCCGCATGCTCCCCTCCTGCTGCCCTCCCCAGTATCTGTCCTCGTCCTCCAGATCATCCCCACCGTCCTCCTTCGCCCTGATTATGCTCCTGCTGCTGTTGCTGTTCCTTATCCTCCCCCACCTCCTCCCCTCATGCTCCATCGCGGTGGTCCTTCCCCCCCCTTCCTGTCACACTCATCCGATCCCCTTCCATCATTGTCCTGACCCTCCTTCATTTTGAATTTCTCGTCACCATCTGTGTGTGTGTGTGCGTTGGCCTTCCGCGCGTGCGGGAGGAGGTACATAGGGCGGGGGCAAGGATGAGGGATGGGGCAGGGAGGGCGGAGAAAGGGGCAAGCGGATCAACACAGTGTGCAGGAGAAGGAAGGACGGGGGAGGAGGAGGAGGAGGAGGAGGAGAAGGAGAAGGAGGAGGGCAGGAGGGAGGAGAGGAGGCAAGGAGCAGCAGCAACAAAAGCAGGTCGCAGCCTACGGCATGCGCGCGCAGGGTCGGCTGGTCCCGGGCTCGCTTTCACACGTCTGGCATTGTCTTGGTGGCCACTCCAGGGTGCCAGGGCCGCGGCAGAGACAGGAAGGATAATGCGGAGGGAGGGAAGGAGGGAGGGATGTAGGAAGAGCATGGGGCCACATGGGATACAAGACGCAAAGTGAGCGGCTAGTCGCCCGCCAGCGCTGTGACGACACGGAATCACGGCGGTGCCTTCGTGAGCCCGTTTCCCAGACCCCTCAGGTAAGAAGGTCAGAGGCACCCGGATTGAGGTTCTCGCCCTCAGCGAGGGGCGGCGTACATCACAATCCGCACACGTCGCGCCCACGCCGCGCCATTGAGGCGCGTAGGGGGGAGGGGGCACATCGACCCCCAGTCGCCCATGGATCGCGGATGGGGGCCCGATGGCCCACCCTGCTCGGGAGCGTGCGGATTCGCAATCGGGAGCCTGTCGCCGATCGATCAGCGATGCATTGCCGATTCTACCTCGATGTTTCGCCCTCCTGTCTCCCCCTTTTGTTCTCCTACTCAGGGTGCTCTGAGAGAGCCCCCACGGGAGGCCCGCGAGAGGGCCTAGACCCCAGCACACGCTCAGTACCGCGGCCTTATCGAGCCGCACCAGACTTCAGGCTCGCGCGCGGTAGGCCTCAGGGGTGGATTGCCGCCATTCACGCCGCGCGCTCGACGGCGCCGACCGAATGGCCCCTTGGATCTAACTCAGTGGCCCAAGGCCGGGAAGCCATCTCCTTGCGCCGAACCGGATGCCTTCTCGGAAGGGTCCTTGCGGTTTTCGGGGCCCACGGCCTCTGAGCTAGCCCACGCCACAGAAACCGTCGCCATCGCCTTCGCGATCGACTGCGGAAGAGCAACAGAAGGGGGCGCCTCAAACCGACTTCCAGCACCGAGGGGCTACACCGACGTCCACTGCCGCAGGCTATAAGCCGTGGGCATCCGTGAGTTCATAGGAATCAAAGTGAGTTCACTCAGGCTTCGAGCACCTAGCGTTAAACTGAAGCATTCGAGAAGTTGGCAGACTTGAGACTGGGGGACCAATTGGATTCTTCACTTGGCGCCTTAGAGATCCGACGCGATCAAAGCCATCCGTGGAAGGTGCTGAACGGCCTGTAGGATGTCTGCATGGTCCGAACTGGGCCAGGCATGAGCCAGTAAACCGTGCGCTCAGGAATCATCCTGCATCCCTTCCCCCATCTGAACCACCGCCCACCCACTCATGGCAGCTCAATGCAGGCGCTGTGCATCCCAAATCTGTCTGTGAAGGCCTCGAGGGGCCAGGTATTAGACCTCGAGCTCGGTAACAGCAGCGACTTCAACACTGGAGGAACTAGCATCGATTCTTCGCGGGATGCCGATCAAGAGCTCCACCAGGAGGCTCAGCTCTCGTTGCGAATGGCTGGCACGAAGACCTCGATCGCTCAAGGTTGAACGATCCACGCGGTGTCATAGACTAACGCCGGCGCCGTCACGGCACGAACTTCCCGTAGCCTTCGTCGCCGACTGGGCATCGTGCTGCTCGACGCATCCCAGCCAGTGCGTCTGGGTCTGAGCCGCGTGACGGACACTGACCCGCGCGCCAGTGAGCGTCAGGCCCTTTCTGCCTTGCCCAGCCCTCTCCGCCTCTGCCTCCCCTTTCTCTCCAAAGTCATGCCACATGGTTATTCTAGGCCCATCCTGTCCACAGCGCCAGCAGCAGGAGGAGGCCAGGAGGGTGGAGGAGGAGGAGGAGGAGGAAGAGGAGGAAGAGGAGGAGGAGGAGGAGGAGGACGCGGAGGAGGAGGAGGAGGAGAGAGGAGAGGAAGTGAGAGAGTGAGAGAGAGAAACAAAACAAGAGGAGGAGGAGGAGGAGGAGGCGAGGACGAGGACGAGGACGAGGAGGAGGAGGAGGAGGAAGAGGAAGAGGAGAAGCAAGAGGAGGAGGTGGAGGAGGAGGAGAGAGAGAGAGAGAGAGAGAGAGAAGAGGAGGAGGAGGAGGAGAAGGAGGAGGAGGAGACAGGACCCTCCCTGGGTCCATTCCTGGCAGTTTGTTCGACCCGCGGCCAGCTGGCAACCCCTCAAAAACGGCGAAAGCGACGGTGCCGCCGACGGCGACGTCGACGAGCGGACGCAGGCGCGGGGCTGCAGCGCGGCTCCGCCTCGTCGGCGAGGCAGCGCGAGGCCCCAAAGGGGTGGCTGGCGGGGGGGGGGCTTCTCCTCCTCCTCCTGCTACGGGCGCTCCTCATCATCCTCCATTCCTGTTCCTTATAGGTAACTCCTCCCTGTCGCACCCCGAGGCAGGTCGAAAGGGCGGGCCGGGCGTTTCGCTTGAGACATCTTCACCACTTATGACTCTGATGCTCAAAAACTGACAACTGCTTCACGGATTGAGGGCAGGTCGTTTTCAAAATATGGCTCTCGCTTGAGCGCCCCGCACATTCGTTTTAAAGATTTGGCAGAGCTTCGCGGATCGAGGGCGGGGGTTGTTGTCAAATTGTGGCTCTCGCCTTAGCGCCGCGCGCATTCGTTTGAACAAATGCAAGAGTTTTGCGGATTGAGGGCGGGCTGTGTTTTAAAATGTGGTTCTCGCTTGAGCGCCGTGCATCTTCGTCTTATATACTATATGTGCTACACGACGAATGTGGAAGAGCATTACAGATTGAGGGCGGGTCGTTTTCAATATGTGGCTCGCGCCTCAGCGCCGCGCAGATTCTTTGTAAGAAGCTGCATGAGCTTCACGTATTGAGGGCGTCTCGATCTCACAATGTCGTTCTCGCTTCAGCGCCGCGCATTGTCGATTCAAGCATATGCAAGAATTCGCGGATTATCAGGTTTAACGTGCCAGAAAAGGGCCTCTGGAGAATTTCAGGGCTTTCAGGGCACAGCAATTCTGTTGACCGGCGGCGATGCAATCCAATGGTGTTTTGGCGCGATTCAGGATCGCCAAAACGTAACATTCAGGTTAACTCGTGGCGTTGGATTCCTGGGAATGTTTTTTTGGGCACGCTTCAAGATGTTCACGCTGTTGTCCCCCAGTTGTGCAACTGCTTCGTTGAAGTGGCCCCTTGTAGCGGCTCATGAAAAAAGGATATTGGAGGGAGGGTGTATTTCAACATCGTTGATGAGTCTTGGGTTTACCTTGTTCCTTTTCCTCCACGTCCTCCTCTTCCTCCTCGCCCGTCTTCATCCGTCATCCATGGTCTTGTTCGGCCGACGTGCTCCGCCATTACTCTCCTCCCTGCCTCGTTCCGCGTCGCGTTCCTCCTGCCCCTCCTCCCAGCGCAATTACTACATATGAATACTTGCGCAGGCCGAAAGATTTTCCTCTTGAGCCCCACATGTCGGAAGCGACGCGCCGATCCCCTCCGTTCTCCTCCCACCTCCTCTTGCCTCTTCCCTCACCCTTCCCCTCCTCATCCTGGGAAGACCCCCCCTCCCCCGTATAATCATAGCATTGGTCTGCAGATCCACAGCTCCGTGGATAGCATGGTGCTTCACGTGCGGTAGTCCGCGGATCCACTTTCTCATGGGTCCCGGGTGTTAATTGTAATTATACGCACACACACACATATATATACATATATATATACATATATATATATGTATTCATTCCCGGGAAAGAAACTGATCCATCGTTTTTCTCACACACCGGAAATTGGATCCGCGCAGCACAGAAATAGGATCCACGAAACTCTCCTACGTCCGAAAAGGGATCCAATTGGATCCATCGGTGTTCTCATATTTTTCGTCCAAGAGGAAAAAACGTTCGGCCTGGGGATGCAGGGTGTAGCACAAAGTGTTGGCGGGGGAGACGCAGTTCGAAATCCCACTGAAGGGTTTAGCACCAAGTGTTGGCGGGGGAGACGCATCTCGAAATACCACTGCAGGATGTATTACACATTGTTGGCGGGGGAGACGCAGTTCGAGACCCCACTGCAGGGTTTAGCACCAAGTGTTGGCGGGGGAGACGCAGCAGGATTTAGCACAAAGTGTTGGCGGGGGAGACGCAGTTCGAAATCCCACTGAAGGGTTTAGCACAAAGTGTTGGCGGGGGAGACGCAGTTCGAAATCCAACCTGCGCAGGCCGAAAGCTTTTCCTCTTGAGCCCCACATGTCGGAAGCGACGCGCCGATCCCTTCCGTTCTCCTCCCACCTCCTTCTTTCCTCTTCCTTCATCCTTCCCTCTTCATCCTGGGAAGACCCCACCTTTCCCCGTATAATCATAGCATTGGTCTTTCGATCCACAGCACCGTGGATAGCATGGTGCTTCACTTTAGGTGCTCCGCGGGTCCAATCTCCCCTGGGTCCCAGATGTTGATGCTTATTGTATATGCATTCCCGGAAAATACACGGATCCATCGTTTTTTCACACACACAGGAAATCGGATCCGCGCAACACAGAAATAGGATCCACGAAATTCTCCCACGCCCGAAAAATATAATTGGATCTTTCCGTGTTTTCATATTTTCAGTCCTAGAGGAAAACACGTTCGGCCTGGGGATGCAGGATTTAGCACAACGTGTTGGGGGGGGAAACGCAGTTCGAAATCCCATTGAAGGGTTTAGCACCACGTGCTGGCGGGGGAGACGCAGCAGGATTTAACACAACGTGTTGGCGGGGGAAACGCAGTTCGAAATCCCATTTACGGGTTTAGCACAAAGTGTTGGCGGGGGGAGACGCAGTTCGAAATCCTACTTGCGCAGGCCGAAAGACTTTCCTCTTGAGCCCCACATGTCGGAAGCGACGCGCCGATCCCTTCCGTTCTCCTCCCACCTCCTTCTTGCTTTTTCTCTCATCCTTCCCCTCTTCATCCGGGGAAGACCCCCCCTCCCCCGTATAATCATAGCATTGGTCTGCAGATCCACAGCTCCGTGTATAACGTGGTGCTTCACTTGCGGTGCTCCGCGGGTCCAATTTCCCCTGGGCCCCGGATGTTAATGATTATTATATATTCATTCCCGGTGAATAAATGGATCCATCGTTTTTCTCACGCGCAGGAAATTGGATCCGCGCAACACAGAAGAAAAGGATCCACGAAACTCCCCCACGCCCGAAGAGGGATCCAATTGGACCCATCGGAGTTTTCATATTGCTAGTCCTAAAGGAAACAACGTTCGGCCTGGGGATGCAGGGTTTAGCACAAGGTGTTGGCTGGGGAGACGCCGTTCGAAACCCCACTGAAGGGTTTAACACAAAATGTTGGCGGGGGAGACGCAGCAGGATTTAGCACAAAGTGTTGGCGGGGGAGGCGCAGTTCGAAATCCCACTGAAGGGTTTAGCACAAAGTGTTGGCGGGGGAGGCGCAGTTCGAACTCCCACTTGCGCGGGCCGAGCGATTTTCCTCTTGAACCCCACATGTCGGAAGCGACGCGCCGATCCTTTCCGTTCTCCTCCCACCTCCTCTTGCCTCTTCCCTCATCTTTCCCCTCTGCATCATGGGAAAACCCCCCTCCCCCGTATAATCATAGCATTGGTCTGCAGATCCACAGCTCCGTGGATAGCATGGTGCTTCACTTGCGGTGCTCCGCGGGTCCAATTTCCCTTGTGCCCCCGATGTTAATTAGTATTATATGTGTATTCCCGGAAAATGCACGGATCCATTTATTTTTTTCTCACACACAGGAAATTGGATCCCCGCAGCACAAACATAGGATCCACGAAATTCTCCCACGCCCGAAAAGGGATCCAATTGGATCCATCGGTGTTCTCATATTTTTAGTCCGAGAGAAAAAACGCTCGGCCTGGGGATGCAGGGTTTAGCACAAAGTGTTGGCGGGGGAGACGCCGTTCGATATCCCATTGAAGGGTTTCGCGCAATGTGTTGGCGGGGGAGACGCAGTTCGTAATCCCATGCAAGATTTGGCACAACGTGTTGGCGGGGGGGACGCAGTTCGAAATCCCACTGAAGGGTTTAGCACAAGGTGTTGGCGGGGGAGACGCAGTTCAAAATCCCACTGCAGGGTTTAGCGCAAAGTGTTGGCGGGGGAGACGCAGTTCGAAATCCCACTGAAGGGTTTGGCACAAAGTGTTGGCGGGGGAGACGCAGGTCGAAACCCCATGCAGGATTTAGCACAACGTGTTGGCGGGGGAGACGCAGTTCGAAATCCCATTTACGGGTTTAGCACAAAGTGTTGGCGGGGGAGACGCGGTTCGAAACCCCACTTGCGCAGGCCGAAAGATTTTCTTCTTGAGCCCCACATGTCGGAAGCGACGCGCCGATCCCTTCCGTTCTCCTCCCTGCTTTTCCCGGCTCATCCCTCATCCTTCCCCTCTGCATCCTGGGAAGACCCCCCTCCCCCTTATAATCATAGCATTGGTCTGTTGGTCTACAGCCCCGTGAATAGCATGATGCTTCACTTGCGGTGTTCCGCGGATCCCATGTCCCCTGGGTCTCGGATGTTAATGATTATTGTATATGTATTCCCGGAAAATACACGGATCCATCGTTTTTTTTTCACACAGGAAATTGGATCCGCGCAACACAAACATAGGATCCACGAAATTCTCCCACGCCCGAAAAAAAGGGACCCAATTGGATCCATCGGTGTTCTCATATTTTTAGTCCAAGAGGAAAAAACGCTCGGCCTGGGGATGCAGGGTTTAGCACAAAGTGTTGGCGGGGGAGACGCCGTTCGAATTCCCACTGAAGGGTTTAGCGCAAAGTGTTGGCGGGGGAGACGCAGTTCGAAATCCCACTGGAAGGTTTAGCACAACGTGTTGGCGGGGGGGACACAGTTCGAAATCCCATTGAAGGGTTTAGCACAAAGTGTTGGCGGGGGAAACGCAGTTCGAAATCCCACTGCAGGGTTTGGCGCAAAGTGTTGGCGGGGGAGACGCAGTTCGAAATCCCACAGCAGGGTTTAGCGCAAACTGTTGGCGGGGGAGACACAGTTCGAAACCCCATGCAGGATTCAGCACAAGGTGTTGGCGGGGGAGACGCAGGTCGAAATCCCATTGACGGGTTTAGCACAAAGTGTTGGCGGGGAAGACGCAGTTCGAAACCCCACTTGCGCAGGCCGAAAGATTTTCCTATTTATCCCCACATGTCGGAAGCGACGCGCCGATCCCTCCCGTTCTCCTCCCACCTCCTCCTGCCTCTTCCCTCATCCTTCCCCCATTCATCCTGGGAAGACCCCCCTCCCCCGTATCATCATAGCATTGATTTGCAGATCCACAGCCC